TTGGACCGATTATGTGAGAAATGAAGAAGTGTTAATTAGAGTCAGTGAGCAGAGGAATATCCTACATGAAATAAGAAAACGGAAGGCTAATTGGATTGGTCATGTTTTACGCAGAAACTGCCTTCTAAAAGAAGCTATCGAAGGAAAGATAGATGGGCGGATAGAAGTGACAAGAAGACGAGGAAGAAGACGTAAGAAGATGCTGGATGACCTTGGGGACAGAAGAGGATACTGTCATTTGAAGGAGAAAGCTCTAGATCGCATTAAGTGGAGGAACTGTTTTGAAGAGACTGTGGACCTGTCGTCTTGACAGATTACTGATGATGATGATACCCGCTGCTAGGCAATGTGTCAGTAAACACATTCCAGCAACACAAGCGCTCAACAATAGGACATCCACTGCTAGGCAATGGACCAGTAAATAAGCATTCTTGACAACAAAAGGCGTTTTACGTGGCGTCTGTGCAAAGCGGCTATAAGAAGTGTTCGGCAGGACAGGAGTACAGTGTTGAGCCAAACTCCATGTGAAGGCAGGGTCAAATACCTCCACCGTGACCCTCCAAGTCATAGGAGGCGACGAAAAAGGAAGTTCCAAATCTGAGAGAGTAAAATATGCTTGTGAGTCCCAAGGGACTCGGACCCAAGAAAGACTGTGCTGGCAAGTTCCAGCAGCACATACAAAAGGCAGACGCTTCCTCTTGTCAGAGAGGGCACCCCACAGAAACAAGACCGTAACTGCCAAATGGTAATAATTAATATCTGGACACCAAGACTTACTGGCTGACTGACCGTCAATTGCAATGTGACTTTGACTTTGACAGGAGGAGTAGAAACAGAGTAGCAAGGTGTAGAGAACAGTAGTCAGAAGAAAAAACTGGGTCGAATTCTAGAGATGGCAGTCTAAGGTGATTAAGAAGAAATGGCATGAAAGGAATTAGACTCTGCCAAGAAGACTTCATGTGTAAGCTGATGTAACAGTGAGACTGTTATAAATCTGTTGCCGGGATACAACTTACGAAGACTGAGAATCTTAGTGTACGTGGAATGGGGAACTGGAAATTGCGCAGAATAGTGATAGCACTTTATTACCTGTAGTTCTGAACTGTGCAAATGTATAAGGTGCAATAAATCCAAAACCCTGTTAATAGTCACTAATACATGTGACAATATACGAGTACTATATACATATAGACATCAACACGTTACAGAACAACACGGAAGAGTAACACAAGGTATGATATTGATATTTTTACATTTATGCTTTCAAGAAATAATTTTCAAGTCACACACTTACAGCTTGCTTCTTGGACTGTCCATGCGCTTTCATCTCTTTTATTCTTTTCTCCTGCTTTTCATAATCCTTTATCATTTCTTTCTTCTTCTGTACATACATTTTCTTGAACATGCTGTAGTTCCCCTTGTAATAGTGCAATTTCTGCTGATCCACATGAATTATCTCATTGCACACATTATCAAGGAAGCTCTGGTCATGAGATACAATTAGTAATGTCTTTTTCCACCCCTGTAAATAGCTGAAAACCACATAAATTTTTAATATATATTTCATTAAATTTAATACTAAAAAGGAAAATTTAATATCAAAGGTTAACTGAAAAATGATGAGATATGTATTAGCACATCAGTAACCTGGTAACAAAATAAGATGGGGAGTTGGAACTGGATTCATCTGGCTCAGGACTAGCAGACTATTTGCAAGCACAATGAAAGAACTTCAGCACTTTGGCCCATGAGTTCGTAACACACTAACCAGTTTTTCAGATAACAGAAACCTAAGAAACTAAACCCATGGTGCAAGATACTGACAGTGTCTTTAAGTGATTGATTGATCAGTAACTGTCAGATGACAGGTCCACAGTCTCTTCCAAAACAGTTCCTCCACTTAATGTGATCTTCTGTTTTTGGAAAGAGACTGTCCAGGAAAAGTGATAATGTGGTAGTTTTTCCATTTGCTTTCCACATCGCAGTACAACAGCCGTTCAAACCACTCTGGTCACGCCTGTTGCTATACGAACTTGAACCATCTCGAGCATCATTTGTTCTGTGCCTCAAGTCGCTGCTGATGACGCTGCTTCCGGCATCAGTTTTTGGTTTTTGGTGTCTCTCTTCGTCTGATGCCTACCCTTTGACCTGTCCAGCAAGGGAGGCCCTGCCAGTAGCTACGCTACCGCTGGTATAGCTCTCAGGGTCCTTGGCATACTCAAACCCCTCACCACGATAAGGTGGAGACACCAACGAGGGGGGTCTTTAAGTGAACCATACAGAAATACATTAACTGCATCTCTTGATGAAAAGCCAATATTCTGCTTGGCTACTAAGGGAATCCCCTATCATCTTACAGAACCCAAAGATTCATTACTGTGTCCATAAGATTCAACCACACTGGGCCAAATTAGGCATGTCTGCAACCTCCCATTACATTTATTTATGATGAATTTTAACATTATCCTGCCAGGTGGTCTCTTCCTTTCAGGTTCTCTGATCTGTATATCTGTATATATTTTAATAGCGCCCATGTCTGCTATGTACACTACCCATCACATCCTGCCTGATTTGATCAATCTAATAATATTCTGCAAAGAATACAAATTAAGTATCTGTCCTGCTGTTACTTCCTCTCTCTCAGGTGCAGCAAGTTCTTTCCTCTGGCTATACCATCCTGTGGGTCATCCTATTGCCAAGTAACAGCTATGTAAACAGGTGCCAGCCCAACAACCATCGCTAGGGAACAGCTCTGTGGACACGCTTCCCCGGCAATGAAAGAATACACAATAATGGAAGAGATGTTTTCTGTGTGGTCTGTGCCGGGGCTGTATAACGAAGAATTGGAGGTTTGTTGCAGTTGTGAGAAGTGAGAAGCTGGTAGCTGAGGCCGGGGACAATTCAGGAACCCAGAGGAAGGGGTATGTCCACCACTGGAACTTGCTACCAAGCAACGGCTAGTGAAAACTGAGAAGACTTTGTGTTCTGTAGTTACAGTGATCTTTGGAGTGGGTAACTCAGTGAGATCAGGTCAACATGTAGCGGTCACAGAATTTTACTACAAAAACACAATTTTAACTTATGTCTTAATCTTTAGTTTCTAATTTTAATCTTTACATCTTTAATTTTAAATTTTATTATCTAAGGATTTTCAGTTTTAAAATTTTGACCAAGACTTAACATATGAATTTATGCAGTTAGTTAAATAACTTCAAGACACAATAAGAATCCTTATTTGAATAATTAAATGATAATTAGTTGCAATTCATCAGCTCATGCTGGAGCATTGTGTAAGGGTGTAAGGGTTGAAACATGGTGCATCTGTAAAAGCATAATAAAAGCAAATGTTGACACATCAGTGTCTTCTTTGTTTTCAAATGCAGAATATTGTTGTGTAGACTGCTTGCCTTATATACTTTTGTATATCTTATTTATGACACACAAAAGGATGCACACTATTAAGACCAGTGAGACTGTCGTAGCAAAAGTGCCCAATAAATTGATTACCAAGCCAAACCTCATCTCTAGTCACACTCAATCATGTGCCAGTTCTTTCCTCTCTTCTTTATGTCTTCCCATATGCAGCTATACCATCTAGTTCTGGGTCATCCCATAGGTCTCTTCTCTTTAACTTTTATTACTAATGCCTTTTCCAGTATCCTTGTTCTATCCACTCATTTCACTCAGGCAGGCAGACTGCAGCCCATCTATCAGATTATATGGGCACTATACCACTGGAGTCTGTCACAATGGCTTCAGATCATGTGTGTAATTATTAACATTTTCCACAAATTCACCTTTCAGTTCTTAGGATATAATTGGAAGGAAGGAATTATTCCCAGGCAATCAGCCCTGTCAATGTGGTGATAGCATCCACTGAACTCCATACTAACGGTGATTACAAACATCATGCAACAGTGTGAATGACACTTACTTATCTAGCCAGATGACTGCATTAAGATCAAGATGGTTGGTAGGTTCGTCCAGTAGAAGGAGCGTTGGTTCCAGGAACAAAGCTTTAGCAAGAGACACTCTCATTCGCCAGCCACCGGAGAAGTTTTTGGTTGCACGATCCTGCATCTCTCTCGAAAATCCTAAACCAGCCAAGATACGTCGAGCTCGGGGCTCTGCGGAATCTGCGTTGATTGCTTTCAGTTCTTCATAGACCTAGACAGAAATTAATCATAAAGTGGTCTGTGTGACATCAGAACTTTCCTGCCAATCCTCCCTTGACTGTCATGACAGATTATGTGGAAAATCATAACAAATCATGGCAGACAAGAACAAATTTGGATTAAAACAGAATAAAGCCAGAGAGAAGAAGAAAGACACAAGAAGAATCAGCTTCTTCCCATCTCAAAGATAATATTTTGTGCAACTAAAAGAAATAACAAAAAATTTCCGTTCAGAAGACGTGTTACCATTGCCAAACATACTGCCGCACATTGGTACTCATTTATTCAATTTCACTTTTTCAGTCAGATGAAATTTTCAGATATAGAGACATTGACAAAGTGGTACAGAATCATGTACAAGTGACTAGGATTATTTAAAAAAAAAAAAAAAAACATACAGTGAAAGCCATACCTAACGAATTTCAGGGTAAATTGCTTTTCTTACATTAAACTAAGGTTTTCACTAAATGTGGGTTATGTAAAATTATATATATAAAAAATGTTGTCTTCATATAACTGTGTGTAACTGTCATAACACAATTCTTTACATAAGCAGTTAAAGAAACTTTAGGTAAATAAATGCAATCAAGTATTCAACATTATTAAACTGATTTCTAAAATAATTAATAACATATGAAATAAGCATGGAATGAAGCTAGGCTGAGAACCAACACGACTATGATCCCTCAAGCAGCACAGTAGCAGCATGTGTAAACTGTGAGACCATAGGACATGAATCAGTGAAATGTGCTTATAATTTTGTCTGTGATTAAAGTGAGGAAGTTGCTCTTTCAAATAATGTGGCTATGACAAGAGAGTGTGTAATGAAAGGGATGGCTTGAGCTGATGTTCTCAGAGCTCTGCTTGTCGGTTGCATACTTGGCTTGGTGGCAACAGGTTCCTCTGAAACAGTGGGTATCTTCTGAACTACAAGGTGCTAGAAACAAGAGGATCATACTCTTCAAGCAACGGTTCACTTAACAGGTTTAAGATCTATGCAAACTTTTACAATATTGTGGTGTGTAGTGCTGTTGTTACGTAATGACCACAAGATGGGCAGATATACCAGGCCAGTTTCTGGGCAACGGCTCAGTGAACACATTCCCAGGGACACAAATGACGTGCAACAATGGAGATGGGGTTTCTTACTTGGTGTGTGCTGAGATGTTATAAGCAAGGACAAGGTTAGAGCTTAGTCAGAGAGTCAGTTAAGTTGTGGGATATTCATCCAACAGCATCGACATGAGCACAGAAGCTGAAGAATCTCCATTGTTAAGATCCATTACAAGGAAATGACTAGTAAAAAGCAGACTGAGAATACTTAGCATGTGTTCTAGCAATCTGTAAAATGTGGGGAACAGCGATGGTGTTATACTTTACTTGTAGTTAAAGAGTTGTGTGTATAAGTTGGCAATAAATCTATTCACCAATCAAAACCTTGTCTATAATCACATACTCTAATACATGACAATATCTTTTAACCAGAGAAGCAGCCAGTGAAAACAGTATTGTAATATTGTGTTTTCCAACTTAACTCAATACAACCAACGAAAACTACGGATATTTAACATTGCCAAGATGGGCTATAATGGATGAAGATACTACCCTCTGGGTTTAAGTTGCCACAGATCAACTCCTTCTCTTTGATGGTATGCAGACAAAGATGTCAGGGTGAAATTCAATTTCATGTTTCATTCAGAGATTACAATACACCTAAGCCCCATCTCTCTAACAAGGAAGCCTCAATAACAACATTCCTGTTCCAGGACTGAGTTCTGTCCTTCTGTTGCTGCTTCAAGGCCTAGCACATCAGCATCTCTCTGAGACAGATGGAAAGGGCAAGGCCTACAAGTTCTGGAAGCGATGGGGGGGTTACGATATCAAGACGGCAACAGGCAGAACGTGGGCACCACGGGAGGTCCTCAACAGGGCTACAATGAGCAGTGCGTGGGAGGAAGTGTGCAGGAACTTGGAGATGCTCCATAAATTCAGCCATGGACCAAGGAGACTTGCTTCAGTGAAGTGTACCAAAGCAACACGAGGATGGGAAGGAAAGCAGCCAATACCACATGGCAGACAGTTGACAACGTTGTATTTCAATAGTAAATTAGGTCAACTGAAAAAAATCCAATGACCTCACTGGGACTTGAACCCACGACGCTAACTCCTCCCTTCTTGTGACTGGCCAACCAAAATGACTTCACAACATACATTAAATCTGAAAGCATCAATCACTGACAGTCCATTTGTCTGAAACATAGAGGAGCCAAACTTCTTTTATTATACATAAATTCAGCCACATAAATTTAATTTAGGTAAAGGGCACTGATCGGAAAGCTAAGGTTGGGAAGAAAGAAGAAAGTGGATATTTTGCTTGAATGATCCGCGTGGGTAGGGGCGAGGAAGGGGGAGTACAGGAGCAAAATAAAGGGCATGGAAATTAACCAAAAGAAAGCTATCATTCTAGGAACACTACATATGAACTCCAGATAATACATTTACAAACTGAAGCTGAAGTAATTAAAACTGATGCCAAAGCACCTCTTTCAAGCGAGCTTGAACTTCCATGTTCCCTTTCTCCTGCTCGGCTTCAAGGTTCTTGCATTCCTGCAGGAGAGATGTTCGCTTCACATCAGCCTTCAGAACTTCCTCTACAGCAGGAGTGTCATCTGCAACCACCTCCTGCTCACAGTAGAGGATGTCAATATTTGGAGGGATTGCAAATGCCCGTGATGCGATGTGACGGAGAAGGGTTGTTTTGCCATGACTGGAATGAAACAATACAATGATATATACTTGTCAGACGGCACCCTTAAAATGTCCTGTTATTGTTTATGAAGTTGACTAAAGATATATGTATGATGTGATTGTTTATGAGAGCCACCTGAAGATTGTCCAACATTTCAGGTCAGTGGGACAAACGATCCTAGCGTCATATGAATTAAGACTGCCAAAAGACTTTATAAACTAAGCAAGTAATTGTTTGTCTTGTAAATAGCCCTAGTAAATCTTTGAACTGATACCATAAAGTAAGTTCATGCACTATGTACTTGGCCGACCATTGTTGTCATACATAATACTTCATTTTCACAAGGTCTGCAGCAGCCTTCCTCGATTTCTTGGAGCTCCCAGTCTCTGGTGCAAGACACCTGAGATATTTGAGTAAGAATATTCATGGCCAGTTCCAGTGTCAACCAAATTCGTTTCAATGAGCAGCAGATATATTAATTTGGTCCATTTTTTTTCATTCAATTCAAACTGTTGCAAAGAGCATCTGTCTCTCATACCCAAAGTGACCAAACAATTTTAGAGTATGTCTCAGACAACTGGATTGGTAGTTATGAGCATCAAGTCAGACATTATTAAACTTCTGTGGCAACTTACCCATTTGGTCCCACAAGGCCATATCTACGTCCATTAGCAATAAGTAGACTTGCATTGACAAACAGTTCATTGCCCTTTGCCGATATACTGAAGTTCTCCACTTTGATATCTACAGCATTTTCAAGGGCTTGCAGCTGGCCTGCCGACTTCTGCATTTGTGATACCGTGAAGTTTTCCCCAAGCTCACTGTGACCCTGACCGCCTTTCTTCGTCATTGTCTCAACCTGTTTTTCATATTCCATCTGGAATTGCAATAAAATTGAAGGCTTTTGTTTTGGAAAGAAATCAATTTTATACAGCAACGAATTATTTAACTTATTTAATAAGGTTTCACACATATTACTCTCCTAAAAGTAATTTTATGTCTCATATATTTCTTATCTTACTGTGACAGAACAACCACAATCCCCACAAATGGACCATCACAGCAATGCAACCTTACCCAGCAGGGAGTTGTGTCTAAACAAGGCAGCACAACCCACATAAGCATAGCTACATAACACACATAACATCAATGCAGTGACACTGAATGCAGTGCAAGAGAATTTTAAAGGATATATTTTCATGAAATTTTGTAAAAAAATAATTTCAAAAATTAATGTCAAGGATGGACATGTGACACAAAACAGAGCACATAATGAAACAAATTCGGCAGGAATCACACGTACCTGATGATGGCTGTATATGGCCAAAACATGCAGTACAATAAGATAAAATAAACGTTGCATTTAACAACAGGATTATTCAATCCAGGGCAGAAATGTCTGGTTGGATTCAGACAAACAGTGTTGGTCCATACTTGTCAATAACATGTCCTGCCAATAACAATTTTCAGTTATCCTTTGCATCCTATTTTCACTTCATTCACAGATGACAAGAAAGTAACATTTCTGTATCATTTAGCTAGCTTTATGATGCTGTCAGCCACTAGACTACACAGCACTGAAAGAACTGTACAGGATATGGAAGGAAGCAATCATGCTCAATCATGGTGTTATCCTGGAATTTGTCTGGAGGAACGGAGGGAATGTCCTGGTCCTGGCCAAGATCTGAACCAAGCACATCCTGAATATGAATCTAGACTAGACCCTTACCAGTGTGCCAATCTGCCGGGCAGCTAGCCTGTGTGACATTTGTTCTTTATAGAGGCAGAGTTCCTTTGTTTCCATTCTTTTCTAATTAACAAAATGGCAGATGACAGAGCCATGATGAAGACTGAAAATGTGACTCACACACTGCAGAAGATCACTGCAATACCCATATGTAAAAAGGTAAAGGTAAACTTGTCTTTTTGCTTAACTAATCTTGGCACTAGTTAGAGGTGAGTAGTCAGCTTCATGCCCGCCCCCCCACTTTATCCCTAGGGGAAGAGTCCCTGGTACCCACTGGATAGGAGGCTTAGTGGGCCCCAGAGCTGGTTTCGATGATGTGGAGAAAACAAAATTCCTGACCCTACCAGGACTCAAACTCTGACCCCTCAGGTGTCCAGCTTGTAGCCAGTCACAATGCCAACTGAGCTATTTCAGTGCCCACAAAAGGGATTAAAATAATTAAACATATGCCAAATAACCTGTGGGGAACACGCAAGAAACAACAGATGAGTTCCATCTTTCAGGATGTAATGCAGTACAGACCAGCAACTCATCAACACACATTTTGGAGGAACAAACAGCCTCCACCTTCAGTGCCAAAGAATAAGCCAAACAAGAGACTATCAAGAAGCAGGCAACAAGGACAGAGCTCTGGATGGCTTCCCCTTCAGCCCTGAAGACAGATGCAGTTATGTTTCTCTGAAATGTCGGTCGATTTTTGTCAGAATATTTAATGTTACACTGGAGCCAGAATAGCATAGTCAGTGTAGTGACTGGCTACAGGCAGGATGACTGAGGGGACAGAGTTCGAGTCCCAGTAGGGTAAAGAATTTTCTCTTCTCCAAGTTGTCCAGAGTGACTCTGGGGTCCAACCAACATCCTATCCAATGGAGACTGGGGACTCTTTCCATGGGGGTAAAGTGGCCGTGGCGTGAAGCTGACCACTCAGCTACAGCTGGGGCCAAGGTCAAGAAAACGTGGTTCTATACATCCACTCCCCAATAGGCCTTCATGGGGTAGTGCTTAATTTGTTATGCACAGGGACAATTTCTTTACCTTTACATAATGTTACACCCCAGAAGATATGTAATTCTTCATGGTCACTGTTGAGAGAACCTCAAATCCAATACAGAAAGGATTTTTGTTGTTTTACAGCTTTCACAGATTGGGTCTCTGGCCCGTTCCAGCCGACAGTTAACAATGGAGAATATGAATCCTTGCATTGGGGCAAGGCTTATCTTCTTTAATAAGCGTACTATAGTGAACCTTATATTTAAATTTTTTTCTATACCGAACGTTTTCTTCCTTTTTTTACTTACTCTTAAGCCACGCTTAGCTCCTAGGCCATTTTCTGCCATATTGTGAGCTATTAGTATCTGATCTTCCGCTCAACGCTTCTAAACTGCATTTTCTTAACTTAACTTTCTGTTAATATAGATTAGTAGTAGAATTAGTAAACATACTTGTTATTTTATATCTTAAATACGGTGATTTGTATTTTCATAAGTGTACTGGTAGGCCTAACCTACAACTAGTGTGTTACTTTGTCTTAAGGAAACTGATTTGTATTTTCGTAAGTATACAGTAGGCCTAACCTATAGGGAGTGTGTTATTTTATATCTTAAGGAAGTCGATTTGTATTTTCACAAGTGTTATTTATATCTTACATAAGTTGTTTGTATTTTCGTAAGTGTACAGTAGTCCTAACCTACAAGAACTGTGTTATTTTATATCTTTAGTAAGTTGATTTGTACTATTGCAAGTGTACCAGTGGGCCTAACCTAAAATAAGTGTATCATTGTATATAGTGGGCCTTAAAAGATTTGTGCCAGCATATACTCTTGTAAGTTCTAATCACAAATTAGACTCTTTAAATATATCTGTTAGTTAGTACTGAATTATAAGTTAACATAAGTGGTAATAATGACCACAAGGGGTAACGACTTATCAGGTAAATGTGGGGCCTGCAGAAGGAAGGTTAGCCAGGGGACAGGATGTGAGGACTGTGGCCTGTGGTTTCATTGGGAGTGCTCTGGCACCAATAGTGATTTGGCCATATTACCTTGGTACTGCAACTCCTGTGTGCAAGCCAAGGTAATAAAGAAACAAGAGGAGACTATCTTGAGTTTGAAAAGGGAGCTGGAACTTGCAAGAACTGAGATTGACCTCTTAAAAGGGGAATTAAATTTAGTAGATAATTGTCCTGAAGAATTTAGGACTGTGTCCAACTCCCGAAGAAAACTTAAAAAAGTTCCTTCTTCACTAGATGTTAAGTTAGCTTTAACCAATCGATTTGAACCTCTAGCTATGCTAGGGCCTCAGACTGATGGTGACGCTATAGATCAGCCTGTGTTAGAGGCTAAGCCTAAGCGTAAGATTCTAGTGCTGGGTAGCAGTCATGGTAGGGGTATCGGGCAGAGGCTACAGAAAGCAATGGGAGATGCATATGCTGTGACCAGCATATTCAAGCCCAATGCTGATCTGAGCAATGTCACTGGGGACATTGGAAAATTGTGCAAAGGTTTTAGTAAGGAAGATCAGGTAGTTATAGTTGGGGGGCCAGGTAACAGTTTGGAGAGAAACCTCAATTATCAAATTGAGAAAGATTTAAGTGACATTGCCCAGAAAACTAGTCACACCAATGTGAGGTTTGTTGGTCTTTTCTGGCGACATGACAAGCCATGGATTAACAGGTGTGTAAGGGAGATTAATCTTCGGCTTGAGCGTTCGCTTGTGGAGGTCGGCGCGGCCCACATTGATGCGATTGATGTCTCTTCAATATTGAGGAGCGAACATACTGTCCATGGTTTGCATCTTAATCCTCGAGGCAAGGACAAGCTGACGCGACTCATTGCAGAGAGCATTAAGGGCAGACACATTCCAGTTGTCATGGGTGTTCAGAATCATTTTTTAGGATAAAGAGTGCAAGTAAAGTTTATCAAGTAAAAGAAATTGCAAAAGAAACTAATCTTTCAGACAATAATGTTAGTGAACCAATAGAAATCGGAAAAGGTAATTGCAGTCTACTAAATTCAGTGAATAATAAAGTACTAAGAATATTCCATCAGAATATAAGAGGATTGAGAAACAAAACAAATGAACTAATAAGCTCCATGAATTCAAATCTTCCACACATACTGTGCCTTACTGAACATCACATGAAACAGCTGGAATTAGAACATCTTCACTTAGAAAATTATAATTTAGGTGCTAGATACTGTAGGAAAACACTGGAGAAAGGAGGAGTGAGTATTTTTGTACACGAAAACCTAAAATTTACTAAAATAAATTTAGAAGATTATTGCAAAGACCAGGATCTGGAAGCATGTGCTCTAAAGTTAGACTCTCCTTTTTCAAATATTTGTATACTGACTTTATATAGAGCCCCATCTGGAAACTTCAATCACTTTTTAAATAGATTAGAAACCATCCTAAATGTACTGCATAGTTCAAAAGTTGAATTTATAATTTGTGGTGATATAAATATAAACTATCTCATCGACAGTAATAGGAAACTAAATTTAGACTCTTTGTTATCATCTTACAATCTCTCCAGTACTGTTAACTTTCCCACAAGAGTTCAAAATAATTCTAGTTCAGCGATAGATAATATATTCATTGATAACTCAAAATTAAGAGACTATACTGTAGGACCCTTTATAAATGGCTTATCCGATCATGATGCTCAACTCATAGAAATAAATAATATTGACTTTCAGCCCAGTAATCAACAATATAAAACAGTAAGGAAAATCAACAAGCATACGATGGCAGATTTTGTCACAAAATTAAGTAATGAATCGTGGGACAATGTATTTGACAGCAATAATATTGATTCTAAATTTAATTGCTTTCTGAACACATACTTGAGGATCTTTTATTCAAGCTTTCCCTTAAAAATAGTCAAAAATGAAAATAAAAACAAATCCACCTGGATAACAATTGGAATAAAAACTTCATGTAAACACAAAAGACAACTATATTTGGCCAGTAGGGACAGTAATGATCCAAGACTAAAAAGTCACTACAAAATGTACTGTAAAATTTTGTCAAAAGTCATTAAAGAAGCCAAACAGAATAACTATAACAGCCAAATTCTAAAATCAAACAATAAAATTAAAACCACCTGGGATATTGTGAAAGTTGAATCAGGAAAGAAATCTGTTAATGAAGACGTACAAAGTTTGAATATTGAAGGGAAGTCCACTAACAATCCACAAGCTATCGCAAGTGCATTTAATGAATATTTCCTTTCATTAGCTGAGAAAACATATTCCAATAATAATAATAATAATAATAATAATAATAATAATAATAATAATAATAATCCAATATACTATCTGTCTCGTGCCTTTAACAATTCATTTCCAAATATCAATCTCAAATTCTCAACAAGGAAGGAAATTGAAAACATTATTAAATCCCTTAAGCCCAAAAATTCACATGGATATGATGAAATCTCTACCAAATTACTTAAAGCAAGCTCTGTTTACATCAGTTCACCCTTGAATCATCTATGTAATAAATCTTTATCATCAGGTACTTTTCCTCAACGCTTAAAATACGCTGTAATGAAACCACTTTTTAAAAAAGGAGAGAGAAAATGCATCTCTAATTACAGACCAATATCCATATTGACTTCATTCTCAAAAGTCTTTGAAAAAGTTATGTATAATAGACTACTTGAACACTTAAATTCTAACAACATATTAGTCAAAGAGCAATTTGGATTTAGGAAAGACCTAACAACAGAAAAAGCAACCTATGAACTAACTAACGATATTTTAAGTGCTCTCAATGACAGATTAATTGTGGGAGGGATTTTCTGTGATCTAGCAAAAGCTTTCGATTGTGTTAATCATGATATCTTACTATCGAAATTAAATTTCTATGGAATAACTGGCAAAGCTAATGAATGGATCAAATCATACCTCAAAAACAGGTATCAAAGAGTTGAAATAAATAATAAAAACTCCAGTCATAATGCATTTTCAAACTGGGGAATTATAAAGCACGGTGTTCCACAAGGATCAATTTTAGGTCCCTTACTTTTTCTTCTCTACATAAATGATCTATCTAAAACCATCAACAATAAATCTAAACCAATTCTATATGCAGATGACACTAGTATAATATTTAAGAACTCTAAATTTGAAAACTTTAAAAATGACATAAATATTGTATTTGAAGCCTTAAACAGATGGTTCGAAGCCAATTTACTCTCATTAAATTTTGATAAAACCCATTACATATCATTCACAACTAAAAACAACCACCAAATTGATCTGGACATCAGTTATGCCAACAAATTAATCTGTAAAGTACTTGATACAAAATTCCTTGGAATACATGTAGACAGTACACTGTCTTGGAAAATACATATTGAACAAATTATACCTAAATTAAATGCAGCTTGCTATGCGATGAGATCAATTAAGCCTTTTATGTCACAGGAAACATTGAAGATGGTTTACCATGCCTACTTTCATTCTATTATGAACTATGGATTAATATTTTGGGGGAACTCTTCACATAGTGTAATAATTTTTAAAATACAAAAGAATATAATTAGAATCATTACAGGATGTAGAAGTAGAGATTCATGTAGAGAATTATTTAAGAAATTAAAAATTCTACCTCTTCAATCGCAATACATATTATCGCTTCTCTTATTTGTTGTTTACAACAAAGATAAATTCAAATTAAATTCTGATGTCTATAACATGAATACTAGACAAAAAGATAACTTCCACCTACCCTCATCAACTTTATCAGTATATCAAAAAGGAGTCTACTTTACTGGCATAATGTTCAACAATCTGCCACAAAGTATTAAAAACTTGGGCAATGATACTAAAAAGTTTAAATCAGAGTTAAAGAATTATCTACATGCTCACTCCTTCTACTCTTTAGATGAATATTTCAATGTAAATAGGGAATGATGTAAAATTAAGTTATATTAATTTTTAAGCTAAAATTGCCTGTACTTATGTATGTAACCTTTTGACTTGTTCTGTATCCAAAGGTACTAACCTGCTTAGGATTTATAGAATGTAAATAAATTCAATTCAATTCAATTCAAAAAGGTCTCTCATATGCACAGGATGACACAAACACAGAAATAAGAGTTCTGGGAAGAACTAATCGCCTACTTTACTTTGATACAACATGGACCTCATAGAAAAAGAGGACATCAAAAAATTCTTCTACTGTTGTGTGTCCATTCACTGCTACGGAAACATGTATATTGAGCCAATGGCAAGCAAATGATATGGGGGATACATACACAGACACAGGGAAAGTAGGCTGACAACAGAGGAACTATTTTCTCCATAGTCCAACCCAGAGTTATGTAAAGAGGACTACACGCTGTTCAGGACCCTGGTTGGCAGTCAGTCACAGAATGCAGAAACCCAAAAGTCAGAAGACTTGATTATCAAGCCACTGACTAGCAATGGCTGCCTCTATGGTGCTTCTCTCACTGCATTATTCTGCCTAACAGACATCATGTCACATTTATGTTTACATGGTACTGTAACAGTTGTTTCTTCTGGTTCCACTATTTCAGTCTTCAGTAATTAGTGGGCATACACTGACAGTAAGGTCTGGCTATCAGACATCATGTCCCATCACATGTGTGTGATGGGACATGATGTCTGGTTCCACTATTCCAGTCATCAGGAATTAGGGAGCATACAATGACAGCAAAGTGATCTCGTAAGCCTCCTATCATTTTTTGAAAATAAGGAAAGAAGCTAACATGGATGTATAGCCATGCACTATGTGGGATGCAAATCCACAATTTCAAAGCACCAAATGCATTAGCACAGTGGTTAACATTCCTGATTCTTATATGGGAACTGCTGTTTGAAACTCAGCTGGGACATCAGCTATCCTAACTGAAGGGTTTTGTGGTTTCACTCAGACACTCTGGCCAGATCCTGGGATAGTACTTGTACCCTGATTAGACCATGTCTGCTTCTTTCTAAATCCTTTCCAATTGATCTATCATCGTACCATTTGATGCTATACAGCAGAGGTGGCCAAACGTACTGAGGAACCACATGTGCAGATTCCAGCCACAAAAGGATTAGCTGGCGTAAGTGTTTAGGTACATGCTACCCATGGAGCAGACGTTCTATATTTGATCCNAAAAAAAAAAAAAAGTGCCACAGTCTGTCCACCCCCCCCCTGACATTATCATAAAATAGCCTACGAAAAGTCCCAGGGTTCCAGCAGCCAAAGTCAGTATGTGCCCTAGGCTGCATGACCAAAGGGATTGGCATGCAAAGCAGACACATACTCATAAGTAAATCACATACTTACTTGTTTCTTTAATTTTTTCTTCTCTTTATGTGTAAGTTTCTTCTGGATACTACCTGTAACAATAACACCATCATTGCATTATGACTCATACAGTCTATATTACTGTAGCTTTGCTCAGATGGTCTTCAAGACAACATTACAAAAACCTTACACAACTAAACCAATTCACAATGAAGACAGAGAAACTGATAGCATCTAAATAAATAAACAAACATATTAAGTTCACAGAATATGAATTTCTATTACATTTCTGAGAAGCAAATCTTAAATTCCCCATTCAACGCAATGTTCCACTTATACAAATTGCATCAACTTTATACAGTAAGCAAGCAGACACAGACACACACACACACACACAAAGTTATATGGGTGAAGTTCTGTGTGTGCTTAATTAAGCACCACACCATGAGAGATGGGGAAATGAACATATGCCTTCACACATTCCGAAATGTCAGCAATAGCAGGAGGGGAAAAGTGACCGAATTTGGGCACTGACTTCTACCCAGGGGCACAGACCCTGGAACCCACTGAGGACAAGTGGAGTCTAGAGCCAGTCTGCATGCTGTGGAGAGAGAGACAGATCTTAAGCTCCTGCCAGGAATAAAACAATGATTCCTTGGTCACATAACCCATAAGTTAGTCACTGTACTGACTGAGCTACCCAAGCTCCTCTCTCTATATAGGATGAGTCTCAATTACATAATTTAGGGCTTGATTATGCCTCAACTGTATTATTGGAACATTTCAACATCTTTTTGTCAAACCATTAGTAACTGGTCCAGTGCCATTCCATTCACAGTTGATAAAGTCTTTATGAGAAAGTACGCTGTCTATGTTTCTTTTCTCGTGCTTCCTGCTGCTATATCTCAGTAAGAAAGAGGTTGTGATCATATATTTATATGACTCTTTTTTCTGCTTGTATATAAGTGTAGAACATGATGCTTATATTTAATGTATGTAACTATGACTCACCAAGGAGATGGGATAGTGCAATTGGTAGAGCGACTCCTATGGGCCTGATGACCAAGGGGTCAGAGTTCAAGTCCCAGGGGGATCAAGAATTTTCTCTTCTCCATGTCATACAGACGAGCTCTGGAGTCCACCCAACCTCATATCCAATGGGTACCAGGGGCTCTTTCCCCTGGAGTAAAGTGGCCAGGGCGTGAAGCTGACTGCTCACCTTCAACAAGTGCCGATGTCAAGAAAATGTGCAGCTATACAATACACCCCCCCATACGCCTTCATGGCGTAGTGCTTAATTAGTTAAGCACAGGGACAACTTTACCTTTTTTAACTATTACTCGCCATGTATACAGGCTGTACCTGAAGGAAAGGTCAATATTCTGTGATGTCATAGTATCTAAGCAAAAGTGTATATGTGTTCTAGTCTGAATGGTTTCTAAGATAAAGTTATTTCTCTGTACAGTACACTGTATACCGTACAGACGAGCAACAAACCATGTCCTCAAATGAGCTGCTAAGCGCACTGATGTTGACAGTGGAATTTTTTAAATGTATGACACTACACCTTGCTAACAGTATGAATCTAAATTACTGTTGGTATCAATTCTCGTGTTTCAAATGACCTGCAGAATATACTCCCAAACTTTGGCCACTATGACATGGGGACTAACAGGTGAAAACTGAAATGTTTGGAAGAACTTTTGGAATGACCGACTACCAAAACCACACACACATGCACACACAAAATATCTTTCATTGGTTTACAAAGTTTGTCCGCAGTTCCTTCAGATATACAATTGGAGAGCATGAATAAAAATTTATTCTACAAACCACTGCCATGTGCTAACCTTCAGAATATGGGGACAAGTGCACTTCTGATGGATGGTTTTGCTCTGAAAGATGGAAACAGCTACCATTAAGTTCCCACTACATTATGCTGGTCTTCAAATATGGTAAAACAAAATTAATCAAATTAATTCTGTAACTGTTCCTACACTGATGAGCTGGGATAGCCTATTCAGTAGTGACTAAGTCACTGAGAAATGAGGGTTGATTTCACACAGTGGCCAAACTTTTCTCTTCCTCACAGCATACAAATGGGTTCTAGAGGTAAACCAACCTATATAATAAGCACTGAGGCTGTTTTCTAGGGACAAACCTATCTTTTGCAAATCTTTATGACAATGAGTTTACTTAAGCACAGTGGCTTCATTGCTGCTACATTTCAAAGCAAGGAAGTCATGAAGTTCACATGTCGACATGTTCTGAAAGTGTACAAGTCATGCACTTATTATATGTCCAATTGCATTAACATACCTGTTGAGTCATCTGCAACAGCAGTAGCTTCATCTTCCTCTTTGTCAGAATCCTCACCAACTTCATTATTTTCAGCAGGCTGATTTTTCTTGACTTTTGATTTATTATTCCTGTACTTTTCACTTACTTCAATGACTGTGTCTTTCTTTATTTCCTTCTCACCAAGGTCTACTTTAGATATTCTGTTAACAAGATCACTTTCATTCTCATCTGGTACTTTATGATCTGGTTCATTCGCATTTTCATCCCTCCTTTTATCTTTTGATTTCGTCTTCTCCTTCTCTATTTGTTTACCATCAGGAGTGTCTTCCTCTTCCTCACCATCTGTTACATCAGATTCTTCTTCACTCTGAACTTTCATCCTGCCCTTTGTTTTCTTCTTATCCTTCTTTGACTGCCTGACGACTGGAATATCATCCTCTGACCTTTCACTGTGTTCTTTCAATTTCAGATCTTCTCTGTCTTCATCATCACTCCAGTCATCATCCTTTTTCCCCTTGCCTTTAGGCTTCTTTTTTGTAGTTGATTTCGAAGATCTGGAAGTTTTATCGGCAACAATGATCTTCTCTGCCGATTCCATCTGAGTAGCTTCATCATCAGAATCATCGTTAACTTTCTTTTTGGTTTTCGGTTTCTTCTTCTCTTTCTTGACTGGTTTCGCAACAGAAATTTCATCATCTGATTCTTTTGACGTAAACTTCGGCTTGCCTTCGAAGTTATCATCTTCATCGCTCCAATCATCTTTTTTGCCTTTCCCTTTCTGTTTCTTCTTGGGTACTGCCTTGGATTGTTTTGAGGTTATAACTTCAACGTCATTCCCACCATCCTTGTCTTCAAAATCGTCCGCAATTTTTTTGCTCTTTCCCTTCTTTGGAGGCATTGTTCTACAGCACACTGCAATATTTAATCTATATATTATGTTGTCCAACTCTGTATTCTAGCAACTCAAACCGTCACAAAACAACAAAATTCACACTCAGCGCTGCCCGTTCTGACTGCTATGGACGACTACGTTCGTCTTGGTTCGTCTTCGGGTAGTTAATTTTCTTGCGATACGATATGCAATGCTGCCAACGTGAAATTATTAAATAGAACTGTGGGAACTGCCAACATTAAAGCAAACGTTACAGTGACAACACACGTATCATTGCTTAGCAAAGGAGAGTAAACAGCCATTGATAGGCAAAGTGAGTAAACAGCTGCTGCTAGGCAAAGCCTACAACAATACGGCAGTGTCGTGTTCTCTATGGGATCCGACGCAATGTTCTATAGGAGGAAGTGTGTTGTCTTTTCTTTTTTTTTTTCTTGAATGAAAGTTACTGTCCTGTTCATAGGACAGTAACTTTCATATAAGAAAAAAAAAAGAAAAAAAAAAATCCGATCATGAGCCCCAGTCGGGGCTCGACACCAAGACAGACAGACTGACGGATCGTCAGTAGCAATGTGACTTGGACTTTGACCCGTGTGGAGGCGTGGTCAAATACCTCCACCGTGACCCTGCGAGTTGTAGGAGGCGACGAAGAAGGAAGTCTCAAATCTGAGGCAGCAAAATACAGTCGCGAGACTCAAGGGACTTGGACCCGAAAAAGACTGCACTGTCAAGGGCTAGCAGCATATACAAAATACAGACCCATCCTCTCGTCAGAGAGGTCGCCCCACGAAAACAAGACCGCAACTGTCAAACAGCAATAAATATCTGGTCATGAGCCCCAGATGGGGCTCGACACCAAGAATTACTGACTGACTGACCGTCAGTCGCAATGTAACTTTGACTTTGACTTTGACCTTGCGAGTCGTAGGAGGCGACGAAAAGGGAAGTCTCAAATCTGAGACAGTAAAATATGGTCTTGAGTCCCAAGGGACTCAGATCTGAGAAAGACTGCACTGGCAACGGCCAGCAGCATATGCAAAAGGCAGACCCGTTCTCTCGTCAGAGAGGGCACCCCACAAAAACAAGACCGTGAATGCCAAACAGTAATAAATTGACACCAAGACTTACTGAGTGACTGACTGACTGACTGACCGTCAGTCACAATGTGACTTGGACTTGGACTTGGGGTGTTGGAAGCTCTATGTGACAAAAGCCACGTGTGACACGTAGAGACTACAGTTCAAGCGGTCGAAGCTCTGCTTACATCTTTAGAATGCACTCCGTTGGGAAAAGTACGACCTTGTGACATACATAAAGTAACAAATACATTAAAATTCCAAAATGCTTGTTGACTTGATGGAATTCCAAATGTATGCCTTTGGCATCTTCCAAGAAGACCACTGGTACATCTGACACATTTAATTAATCACTGCCTTTAGCTGCCCTATTTTCCAAAGCCTTGGAAGAAAACAGAGGTTATAACGTTACCGAAACCCAAAATGTCTTCAAAATTTACGCCCGATTAGCCTCTTGTCTACAGCAGGCAAGCTATTCAAAAAAGTTATCTTGAAAATAGTCCAAAGGTACATTGAAGAAAAAGGCCTGATTAATACAAGCCAGTTTGATTTCTGTGCCCGTCATAGCACGACACTTCAATGTATGAAGCTTACGGGCCATGTAACCTTAAATGTCAACGATAACATGTCTACAGCTGCTGTATTCTTGGATATTGAAAGAGCCTTTGACAAAACATGGCACACTGGCTTGCTATATAAATTATCTACATTACAATTTAAAAAAGTTTAATCAAGCTTATTAGCTCTTTCCTTTCTCAGGGAAAATTCAGAGTTTCAGTCGAAGGCGAAATGTCTACACCAAGGGATATATACAAGCAAGAGTGCCACAAGGTTCTGTTCTGTCCCCCCCAGTGTACAGTTTGTATATAAACGACACGCCCCAAATACCTGGTGTCTATCTAGGTCTCTTTTCTGACGACACCTGTATATATGTGACAGACCAGAGAGAGTGTTATGTTCTCAGAAAGCTGCAGCGAGGTCTCAGTGTTAGTGAGACGTGGTGTGATCACTGGAACATAAAAATCAATGTAGATAAGACTCAGGCAATCTACTTCTCTCATAGATTTAGGCACCATCAGACTCATCTTACATTGAATGGGCAAAATATCCCCTTCATCAATCACGTAAAATACCTGGGCGTAATCTTCGATAAGAGGATTACGTAGAGACTTCACATAGAAATGATTGAAGCCAAGGCCTTCAGAACATTTATTAGAATCTACCCCCTATTCAAAAGTGAGCGTTTTAACGCAAACATTAAACTATCCCTCTATAAGTCACTGACCAGAGCAGTAATGACTTTCGCTTGTCCCGCATGGGAATTGGTGGCAGATACCTACCTCCTAAAATTGCACCGCATGCAAAACAAGGTATTGCGCACCATTTGAAATTTTCCAAGGTGCACAGCAGTCCGCGACTTGCACATGGCTTTCAAATTTCCATATGTTTACGATTATATAACAAAATTGTGCAGACAACAAGCAGAAGTCATATAAACTCATGATAATGAACATGTTCGCGGTATAGGACAAGGTGAAGCCAGACACAGAAAATATGAGGCTTATACTTGGCAGTTGTCAAGCTTATGACCATTCAAATGACTAAGTTTTCATTGTAGCATAAGATCTGTAAGTTAAGAATGATTTGCTCTGTATAGCTTGTACTGACAGAGAACTTGTGTGCAAAGCAAAAGGAAGAGTTTTCGATAACATATTACACGTGCGAAATATACACTTGACGAAAAGTCAAGTGAATTCATAAGAGACAGACCTATCCTCTCATCAGAGAGGATGTTACATATGGACTATCACCACAAGAGTTCAGTTGGAAAAAAATAATCTCTGGTCGTGGGCCTCAAGGGGCCTGACACGAAGACGAACTGATTGGCGGTAAACCGCCAGTCGTAAAGTAGAATAGAATAGGATAGAATATATAAGGGGTAGGCCTTCTCAATCCTTGCACAGCGATCTTAGGTCTATTGTGCTTCCCCTTTTTATTTATTCCATCAGCAACACCGCGCTTCGGATGAAGCGCAGGATTTTGGTCGTGGGGGCATCAAAATAGTCACCTGGTTCCCTAAAGTACTGACCAAAGTGACGTAATCTTAAATAAGCTAGAGCCTCACATTCACACAGGACGTGAGTGGCTGTTTCATTTTCTATCTGATATCTCTCACAGGTGGGACTATCACTCAGTCCCAGTTTGAACAGGTGACCTTTGAGGTGACAGTGCCCTACAAGTAGTCCTACCACCCATCGTAGCTGGTCCCTGTTGAGCTTCAACAGTTCCTTCGCTCTTTTAGCAGAAGGTCCTCGTATGAGTCCCTTTGCTTGCTTGAGTCCAATTAAGGATTCCCAGTATTCCTTGGGTTTCATGTTAGTCCAGTCCCTGATTGCCTCTTTGGCAACTCCTGGAGAGATGCCACAGGCTGGTTCAGGTCATATGAACGGATGTTCAGCTCCAATTTTAGCTAATTGGTCTGCTGCTTCATTTCCAGCAATACTCTCATGCCCCGGCACCCATATCAGTTGTACCCTGTTATGTTTGGCCAGTTCCATGAGGATTTGGTGGCAATCCCAGACCAATTTTGAACTGATCTGTTGTTTGTCAAGCGCTTTAAGCGCAGCTTGGCTGTCAGATAGAAAGTAGATGTTCCTATTTCTATAGTTCCTATCTAAATTCTCCACAATACATGCTTTAATGGTATATACTTCTGCCTGGAATACTGTCGTGTACCGCCCAAAGCGGAAACTAAGTTTCCTCCTCATGCCATGGCAGTACACACCAGCTCCAGTGCCCTTATTTGTCTTGGAACCAACTGTATACCAGATCAGTCCCCCTTTTCTGTCGGGCTGAAACCCGTCTTCCCATTCACTCCTGTCAGGAAATCTGACCGTGAAGGGGTTTTCATATACATGTCTCAGTATCATTCTGTCAGACCCCATTTTTAATATGGGTTCTTTTTTCATGTCCTG